AAAATTTTGAAGCCCCCCCCCCCCAATTTCTCTTTTGAAATCCTCAATCAAATGCCAAAACAAAGATAGATTCATGAAATATAATAAAAAATAAGTGGATAACACTATCCCAATCCATATGGTGAGAATTGCTTCAAAAATCGTCTCAATCCGAGCTCCATAGCTGGAAATATACAAAAATGTCTGAAACCTTCGAAATAGAGTACTTTATACATTGTTCCAAGGGACCCTACATGATCATGGTCACAAACCTCGCGATCGCGATTATAAAGTTTTGCATGACAATTTTTACCCTATGCGATCATGACCATTTCCCCGCGATCGCGATGAACAAACTTCCATTTAACCCTTCCCAACTCTTCTTAGACAGCCTGTAGTATATTACTTATAACTTTTTATACAAAACTTTAAATGACAAATGGTTTGATTTTCTGAAAAGTTGACATAAAGGGCTACAATTTTATTTTTTGATTATCTCCAAATTTCTTATAGATTGTAAGTTATAAGCTTACAAAGTCGAGTCAATGCAACAGAGATTTTCTTCTATGCCATCGCGAGAAGGCTTCTACGATCGCAATTCACAACTCCATTTTTCTTATTTTACTATTCGCTATCACAACCAAATCCACGCGATCGCAATGTACACCTCTATAGCCAAAAACTAGCAACTAAAAATGGCCTAGAAATGGTCTGAAACCACCCTGAAACTCACCTGAGCCCCTCAGAACTCCATCTGAACATACCAACCAGTCCCATAACATAACACGGACCTACTCGAGTGTGACGACCCGGCCAGTCATCTCATGATTTACCACTCCGTTTTCCCCATTTTTGCTTCTTTATACTTTGTTTATCTGTGTTATGTGGTATCAGGTCGGTCGGATTGAGTTCGGAAAGGATTTGGTAAGGTTTGAAACAATTAGTCTCTTTAGAGTGAGTTTAAGTTGGAAAAGTCAACCGGATATTGACTTATGTGTTAGAGGGCTCGGATATGAGTTCCGATGGTTCGGTTAGCTTCGGGAGGTAATTTGGGACTTAGAAGCGTGATCAAAATAAGTTTTGGAGGTTCAAAGTAGATTTAGGCTTGAATTGGTGAAATTGGATTTTCGGCGATTTCTGGTTGGTAGGTGAGATTTTGACATAGGGGTCGGAATGAGATTCTGAGAGTTTCAGTAGTTCCGTTGTGTCATTTGGTATGTGTGTGCAAAACTTCAGGTCATTCGGACGTGGTTTGATTGGGTTTTTGATCAAAAGCGGAATTCGAAAGATTTTGAAAACTTAGGCTTGGATCCGATGTGTTTAGGTTGATTTGATGTTGTTTGAGGTGTTTTGAAGATTGGTACAAGTTTGAATAAAGTTTTGGGATATGTTGGTGCCTTTGTTTGAGGTCCCGGGGGCCTCGGGTTAGTTTCGGAGGGTTGAACGGATCATTTTGAATTGAAGAAAATTGCAGATTTTGGTTTCAGCTGTTGCAGGTATTTTACTCTTCGCGTTCGCGAGTGGACCCTCGCATTCGCGAAGAATCAGTTGACGAAGGTGGAAGTTAAGCCTTCACGTTCGCAAGGAAGGCTATGCGTTCGTGAAGGGCTACGGGTTTGTGCATTGCGTTCGCGGGGGAGGAGTCACGTTCGCATAGAGCAAAAAGGGCAGCTGAGCTTCAGGGGGAATTTGTTCATCGCGTTCGCGATAGGGGGAACGCGATCGAGAAGGTCTATCTGAGTGAAGCATTGCGTTCGCAATGGGGTTGTCGCGATCGCGTAATAGGAATGTTGCTAAAGATTATTTTGTGTTTCACGAACGCAAGGCTTTGACCGCGTTCGCGATGAAGGAAATTAAGACCTGGGCAGAAGGTTTAAAAGGTCGTCTTGTCCATGAATGTGAGGTTTATTTCTTCCATTGTTGGTCATTTTTGGAGCTTTTTGAAGGGGATTGAAGAGGGATTCAAGGGGAATCACTAGGAGGTAAGATTCTTGGACTTAAAATTCGATTCTAATGTGAATTCCACCTAAATAATCATGGAAATTAAGCCAAAAATTGAGGAATTAGGGCTTGAGATTAAAAGACTTTAAATGTGAATTTGAGGGGTCATTTGGACTCCGATTTCAGTGTTCTTGGTATGTATGGACTCGCGGGAGGATAAATATTCCGTTGATGTAATATTTATCGAGTTTCGAGATATGGTCCCGAGGGTCGGGTTTGGCCAGTTTTGGGATTTTTGGTATTATTTGATTGTTTTCGCTTGTGCTTCGTTCTCCTACCATATTTTGACAATGTGATTCTGATTTTGGATAGATTTGACTCGAGTAGAGGCCTATTCGAGGGGCAAAGGCATCGCGGAGTAGTATTTTCATCGGTTTGAGGTAAGTAACCATTTTAAATCTGGAAATGAGGTACAAACCATGGTATTTGACTTGTTTTGATAAATGCGGTGACACACATGCTAGGTGACGAGCGTGTGGGCGTGCACCAGTAGGGATTGTGACTTGGTCCATCCCGTAGCGACTATTAAGCCGCGTATTTGATTTGGAATCTTATATTATTCCGTACTT